GTGGGGTCACAATGTGGCAAGAGTCAGGCCTTCTCACAGGGCCATCTGTTCCTTTTCAGGGCAGCCAAGACCTGAATAGGCTGTTCTTCCAAGATGTTTAGAAGAGGCCCTTGAGGTTGGAGAGAATGAGACAGTGTGGAGGAAGCTAGGCTGCCCTGACTCCTGGCTGAGAAGTGGGCCTGATCCTGCATCACAGCGGTGGAGGGTAGCTATGGTGTCCTTCTAGGCCCTAAGCTCTTCTGGATGAGGGCCTTGCTTGTGCAGTTCCTGTGTCTCAGCATAGTGGCTGCTTCCTGAGTGTTCATTAAGCTGCTGGAGTACGGTAGCAGGCTTTCTTTTGGGTCACCAACCAGCTCCCAAATAAAGACACGGAGACTTATTATAGTTATGAATGCTTGGCCTTATCTTATGCTTGTCTCACTAGTTCTTAACTTAATTTAACCTGTTTCTCTTCATGTTTTGCCCTGGGGCTTTTTACCTTTCATTGTGTATGTCCTACTTTTCCTGATTCTTTGGTGTGTGCATGTCTGTCTGGCAGCTGGCTGGCCCCAGGTGTCTCCCTCTTCTCCTTTTTTCTCTCTCCTTCTCTTGAGCCTAGATTTCTCCTCCTACTTATTCTCTCTTCCCACCATCCCTGCCTATCCTCTGCCTAGCTATTGGCTGTTGAACTTTTTATTAGACCAATGGGATAGGCAGACAAGGTAATACAGCAACACATCTTCACTTAATTAAACAAATGCAACATAAACAAATGTAACCCGTCTTGGCCTAGTTAAAGAAATATGCTGCAACATAAACAAATGTAATGCATCTTACATAGTTAATGTTCCATAACACAGTAAGCCATACAGCCTTTGTTTACCTGTTGGTTGTACCTTACAGTGTAGGTCTACCCCTTACGTGACAGAGGATTTACCTCCTTCATTTGTTTGTTTTTAGAAATCCTTACCTTTGTCATGATGAGGATGAGCCTATGTCCTTGTGCACGCTAAATACTGTACCTCAATGAATCCCCAGAAAAAATTTTAGTAGCCAAATCTGTCACCCTCTTTTCATTTTATTCTTTCACTTTTCTGTTGTTAATGCTACCCACTTCTCTTTGGTTCCAAAGTTTCCCTTGTGCAGGAGTGTTTTGGCTCCTTAACTGATCACAATCCCTTGTCCTCCTAGCGCTTGTTCCCCTCACCGATGGCTTCCCATCGTCTGCAGTCTATGTGCCTGCACTTACCCTAGTGACCCTGGGTCCTCTTCAGCTGCTGCCTTCTCTATTCCCCCCAGTCAAATTTGTTGAAAAGATAGCTTTCAGTTAAGGGTTCTCACTTTTCATTCTCTTTCCTGTGGCTACCTATCAGTTGCTTCCCTCTAAACTGCCAGGCAGCGCACACTCACACTTTGTTAAGACAAAGTCCCTTGGATGTTTTGAAATCTCTCAATGTGTTCCAGTCCCTGGGTTACTCAACAGCACTGTTCACTTCTTAGTCTTCCTGTTCTCCCACTATGAGCATCCTTCTGCCCTTCCCTGGCTGGCTTTCCTCTGCTTGTGTTTCTCAGAGCCTTCTTGGGATCCCCAAAGCATCCAGTCGGTCCCTTGCCCCACTCTGGCCCTATGTATTTCCAGTAGGTAAGCATTTAAACCCTCATCTTCAGCCTAGATGTGCACACATGAACATGCATGTCCCACAGGTGTGAAACTCAATTTTTATTATCTTAACTCACCTACATGTGTTCTCTCCTGAGAATGTCATCTTAGTAATCCATCCCGGTTAGTTATCCTGGTGTGTAAATAAATAGGAGACCCTTAGATTTGCCTTGCACTCTCTTCCTCCCCTCTTTCAGCTAATTGGCACGTCTTGCTGATTGTGTCAGAGCTCTGCCAGCCCCTTCTCTCATTCCCATGGCCTCTACTTCTGCAGCAGTGGCCTGTCCTAACCTGCCCCTTGCTGGTCTGTCCCACAGAGTGCTTACTATTGCAAGTGCACCTGGATATTCCAAGTAAGGTTGTCACAATAGAGTCCTGGTTCTTTCTCCTGGATTACAACATTTTTCCATGGCTCCTGGTTAGCGTGTATCGTTTTATTTATTGACCTCATCTACCCCCACCCCTTCTAAGCATTTTGTAGTTTTTTCTTCTATGGTGCGTATCATATTTATTTTGCTAGAAAAAGCCTCTGTCCCTGACTTTGTGGTAAATTCTTCCTGCTGTCATAACAAGATATGGTAGCTTATTAGTGAACTCTTGTTCAGCCTCTGCCATCTTTGTACTAGCCCCACTCCCCAACCCCTACCATACTTTGTACAAACCTCCGTTAGAGTACTGGCAACTCTGGTAGACCATTAACTCCCTGGGAATGGTTACTGAGCACTGGGAAAGGACAAAGGGATTGCCATTAGTAAAGGGTACGTGTGTGAATGAGAAGATTTTTATTGTTTTTTTTTTTTTTTATTTTTTGACGGAGTCTTACTAGTTAGCCCTGGCTAACCTGATACCATGTAGACCAGCCTGGCTTTGAACTCATAGAGATCTGCCTTTCTCTGTCTCCTGAGTGCTAGGATTAAAAGGCATGTACTGCATGTCTGGCTAAGGAGAGTTTTAACAGAAGTTACTGAATCATCCATGGCCTTGTCCCCTGCAGACAGGTCTAGAGAACTTCATGGTAACTGGTGAAACCTTTGGGTTTACAGTCTGTCTACCCTTGCCTTCCCGGAGGAAAATTATAGTTAAAGGCATTTTTATAGTGCAGGTAGAAGCAACTCATACTTGTCGAGTGCTTTATTTTCCTGTTGAGTGTCAGAGGACAAATATGAAGTACAGAAAGGGTGTGACCTGTTTAGAGGTGCACAGCATAGCCCACAGGCAGCAGAGCAGGGTAGGATGTGTGCCCTGTCTGTACACACTCAGACGTTATCAACGTGTGATTTAAAGAATCGTGGAACTCCCTTTTCAGAGAAAGGCTACTCATGGCCTTGACAACAAAGAACTCCTTTTAGGCTGGGCATTCACGCTGGGTGTGGTGGTGCCCTTGAGAAGTGGATGCCGGAAGATCAGGAGGTATGGGACATCTTAGCCATGTAGTGAATTTTAAGGATGGCCTGCACTACTTGAGAGCTTTCCTTAATACAAATAAAACCCACAAAAACTCACTCCTTTTAGCTTAGGATGCATGTGTGATGTGCTCTTTATCATTATGCCATGTGTAGTATGAAATTCCAGTAAGGCAGATTGGGTCTGTTTTCTCTGGTAACTTAGAGGCTCAGGTAATCGACAGAGCAGGGGACAAATGGTTTTGATGTGTACTTAGCCAAGATGTCTTGATTATTCAGTAGCCCTTACTGAGCCACCTGGGTAACAGCCTGGCTACTGTCACATTCCCTTTTCTCACAGGGGTCAGGTCAGGAAGTCAGGCGTTAATCCAAGGTGCTGACAGAAGAAAATGAACTGTGCCGAGAGTGTGTCAGAGGCCATGTTAGAAAGCTTAAGCTTGGGAGAAATCAAGAAGCCTAAAATTGTATCCTATGGGGCCTGGCAGGTTCCCTTCCCTGACTGTGCCATGTTCTGTTGTTCTATAAAATGATCAGTGTTGGACTGATTTGCCTCTTAGTTCCTTCCAATTTGCTGTCTTTGAACTATGAAAATGCCTTTGTTAAAAAGAGACAATGCAGGAGGTATCTCTGTGTGTTAGTTATTGAATAATAACACTAGATGTTTCATCTGTTGTCTCTGTGAGCTAAGAGCACCGGCTCAGATTGTTCACACCACTGACTACTTACTTACTCTCCCATGGTATGCACTTATGCCTCCAGCAGTGCTTAGTGTTTAGTAGACCTTACAATCACCTAGTCGTTCTGACATTTGAAGGGGTGAATCCTTTTTGTTCTGCGAACTTAAAAACCAGTCTCTCTTGTCCTTAATACCTAAATTTGTTATATGTGATGGGAATAAATACATGAAACACTCTTTATTAAGGGACCCAACATTGCTGAACATTTGTTGCATGCACAGTGCTGCCAGGGTCAGTATAGACATTAAGAAATAGCTCCTGCCCTAGATGAGCTAAAATTAGAGAGTAGAAAATAAATGATCACTGTAGGCAACTGTTTAAAGTGCTGCCATGGGGCTAAAGAGATGGCTCAGCTGTAAGAGCCCCTGCTGCTTTTCTAGAGAAGCTGAGTTGTTCTAGCATCCATGTAGGGCAGCTTACACCTCCTGGAACTCCAGCTCCCAGGAATCTGATGCCCTTTTCTGGCCTTTACGGTTCCAGCACACACTAACTAACTCACTCACACAGACACACATACACATAAATAAGAAGATAAATCTTTAAGAACAGTGCAGCCACAGAAGCTTAGAGGAACAGAAGTGTGGATCAAGAGTATTTTGTATAGGCTAGTGGGAGGGAAAGTCAGGGTATTGTGGTGTGAGGGTAAAAGAGATGGGCTTTTGCAGTCTGTCTTCTTGTTAGTCTCTGGTGTTAGCTCTATACTTTTGGGGTCTGGTTGGTTTCAGACAGGGCCTTGCTCTGTTGCCCAGGCTCCAGTTACCCCTCCTCTTCTGTCTCAGCCTAGTAACATAGCTGGAGCTGCAGGTGTTTGTCACTGCATCTGGCTTGCCCATTTATAATACACACCTTCCATGGTCAGTGTGTGTGTGTGACAGAAAGTTCTGTCTGAGCCTCAGGGCAGAGAGATGTTCTTGAACAAAATGGATATTAAGCCAGTTGTAATAGCAAGGTAAGAATAATTTTAATGAAGTGAGATTTCAGATTAAACAAATCAGGACCAGGCAACCTTACAAAGGCTTTATACCAGCTTGGTAGCTCACCGTGCTCTGGTGGAGCACTAACTGGTTGTAGGAGAGGTGACAAGCCTTCCATCCCCCCCCCCACGTCAGGGCCCCATACTCAGCAGGTGTGGAGATGTGTGTCCTGCCCTACCTGTGCCTGTGGAGATAAAACTGCAGTAATGGTACATCCTAACTCTTACCTCTTCCTCTCCTGTACCAGATTCCAACATGTGGGCTTCCTGCTGCAACTGGTTCTGCTTGGATGGACAGCCTGAGGAGGCCCCACCACCACAGGGAGCCAGGACGCAAGCCTATTCCAACCCTGGGTATAGCTCCTTCCCTTCCCCCACAGGCTCAGAGCCAAGCTGCAAATCCTGTGGGGTTCACTTCGCAAGCACAACCCGAAAGGTAAGTGTCATTACACTGTGACCCCAGAATCTCAGGCCAGCCACCTGGCTTCTACCTGTGTGATGCTGAAGATAAGTCCTGACTGCAGATTAACCTTGTCCTCATTATCAAAAGCCTGTCAGAGCTTTCCAAGCAGAGGAACTGGAGCCCGCTCAGGAGCATAGACGCCATCTGCAATGGGCTGCAGTGGGGTATGGCTGTTCCTTTACTAGTGCCCTCAGGCATTACATGTCCCTCAGAACAAGAGGTTCATAGCCCAGAATGGCTGGTAGGATTTGGGGATGCAAGGGTGACAATGGAAAACCACGGGGAAGGAATTCTTTTTAAGTTTTCTACTGTATGAGAGGAACTGTTGAAGGATTTAGCCAGATGTGGTGAAATACATTTGATGTGAATTTGAGGTCACCCTGAGCTATGTAGTTTCAAGCAACAACAAAAAATTTAGACTTTTAATTTTACTAAGACTTTTTAGTTTTTGTTTGGGGATTTTGTTGTTGTTTTTGAGAAGGGGTCTTACTCTAAAACCTAAGTTAGCCTTGACCTCACAATGTTAACCTTGTTGGTTTCAAAGTCAAGGCAGCCTCCTACCTCAGCCTCACAAGTGGTGAGATTACAGGTATGCTACGATTCCTTGCTTAGATTGTTTTATTTTTGTCTTTCAAGACAGGGTTTCTCTGTAGTCCTGACTGTCCTGGAACTTGCTTTTGTAGACCAGACTGGCCTCGAACTCACAGAAATTTTCCTCCCTAGTGCTGGGATTAAAGACATGTGCCACCAACGCCAGCAGATTTGTTCTAAACTTAGATCTTTGTTTGTTTCATTTAATCCTCACAGTAACTATTTCAGTTTTAGAAACCACAAAATCCTGTTTTAAAAAGAAAGTGGGGTGATGGTGGTGTTTTTGAAAAGGCAGGTAAATCTCTGAGTTTGAGGCCAGCCTGGTCTACAGAGCGAGTTCCAGGACAGCCAAGGAGAGACCCTGTCTCAAAGAACCAAAGGAAAAGAAAAAAAAAAAGTTTTCAAAGTAAACAGCATGTCAGGTTCTTGGTAAACAGCAAGAGACATGAGTATACTCATTCCTTTTCTCACAAACGATACTTCACTATACATGCGTAAATACTTAGAACCAGGATTCAAACTCACATCCTAGACTTTAAGTAGCCTACAAGTAGACATGTGGAGTGTTGAAGACTGCAGGTAACAGGCCCAGGTTCTCAGGAAGATGGGGTTGACTAACTTTGCCCTCCTCCCCCATTGGAAATAGGAACTGAAATCTAGCTGGTGTCAACATTGCCTGGCTAGCAGACAGGGATGAAGGAGGTTGTCCTTCCCTGCTTAGGGAGCTTGCACTGGGACAAAGGGGTCAAGGCAGAGTGCACTGTGTAGTCACACTAGGGAAAAGTCCCTGTAGCCTGATGTGCTCCATCAGGGGAGGCGGATCCTAATTTGGATGATGAAAGATGATATTGGTGTAATGTTTTCTTGCTCTAAATTATGTTAATGTTGTGCAGTTTACAGTGACTTTTGTGAATATTAAGGATGTTTTCTGCTGCAGGTATTTTTCATTTGTCATTCATGCTTAAGTGGATTGGCCTTCTTAGGGTTTGAAATTTCCCAGCCAGAGACTTTTAAAAAGTAGCTTTTCTAGAAGTAGTTGAATTGCCTTGATTACATGGATCCTACCATCGTTTCTTTTTCTTTTTTTCCCTTTGTGGTCAGTATTTTCTACATGCTCACTGGGTTCAAAGCATGCACAATAGCAAAGACTTGTACATAGAATATAGGTCAGAAATGTCCCCTTCATCCTCCAGCTTCCCAATCCTGGAGAGAAGGGGGGAGGGGCAGGCTGCAGATTTGCCATAAGCTAACTGTCCCATCTGTACTGGTAATGCCCACCTATAGTATTGCAGTGGCCTAACAGTTTCAGAGTGAGTTCTGGTGCCCAGCCTCTTCAGCTGGACCCCTATGAGGTGGTGGAGGACGCTGTACTAGGTTGGCACTTGGGCATAGTATTCAGATGCAGAGCAGAAGTGGACTTTTGGGTATTGAGAAGATCTGAGATGGACTAGAGGGGAAAGAGAGTAATAATGTCTTCCTGTGAGTGTCTGCTTTACGACGTTTTATATAAATGATCTCTGGTATTTCAATGGTGCAAAAGCCAGCAGGATAAGAGTGTGGGCCTGCACAGTGTCACTTTGGTTGAGGATGCATGGGAAAGTAAGGACAGCCTGGCGAAGGGGAAAAACCAGGCTGGCTGCTAGCTAGCTCTTGCTCCAGTGTAGGCCCAGAACCTCTTCTGATGCGTCTTTCTTGCTATTTTGTTACTCTGGTTTTGATCCATTGGTTAGGATTTACACATGTCTGTCCTTTTCTCCTTCTCCTGTGGTTTGTTGACAGCCTTCTTCCTTTCTCTCTGTTGTTTCCCACCGTTATACTCAAGTGCCCTCCTCCTCCTTTAGAGCTGTTTTGGAGGCAGGCATACTTCAGACTCTCTGGTGGGCAGGGGTAGCAGAAACTGGGTTGTCATCTTTGACTTCTGATCTTGTATCCAGTAGCCACACACATTTGAAGAAGAGAGATACTTGGATCTGGCTGACTGAGCAACACAAGCTTCGTAATTCTGTCGATCTTGGTCTTGTCAAACTGCCTTGACTTAAGCAACACTCCATTTGGGGACCACAACTTCACGATACTGCAGCCTCTTCATTTTCAGCCAGGCATCAAGAATGAACCCCAAATACTCAACTCCTATTTTCCACTTTCGTGGCTGCTGGTCACAGCTGTTCTTTGCTGGTGTGGGCACATGTCCTTTTCAGTCTCTGCACAGTTTACTGTCTGGTTATAGCTGAGTAGAAAAGAGGATTGGTGTGTATTCCCTGCAGCACCCAGGTTTCTTACTTTGCCTGGACTGTGTGGATGGCATGTAGACAAACACTAACTGTGCGGACTCTTCAGCCCCTGCACAAAGATTGCCCTGATCCTGCCTCTGAGAATGTGTCTCGGGTGTTTTTTTTGGTAGCTGAACAGATTGCCATATTGAGAAAAAGGAAGCAGAAACATGTAAGCTAATGTAACATTTAAGTGATGATGAAATGAAAAGTTCCTAACCTCTTGAGAAGGTGCCCTTGAATAAACCCCAAGGTGTTGAGGAATGACCTCTTGGGAGAGCGACTTGTTATTGACTGGAGCAGAGCTCAGTCAAACATCACCACTGTACTTGTGCAGCCTGTGGATTGAGTAGCCTTGGTGTGTGGTCTGTGACTGTGGGGGTAGCTGCACCAGGCAGTGCCAGCTTGTGGGTCAGTCACACTTGTCTCTAAACTGAGACACTGTGAGCTTTCATAAAGGAGAGAAACTAGCATCCCGGTCCCTTGTCCTGGCCAAATAATTATCTCAAAGTGACCTTGTGTACCACCTACTTCAGTACTCTAAATGGCCTTGCTGGAGGAGGGGAATCTGTGAGAAGTCTCTATGGACAGGGTACTGACTAAGAAGTTTGGAAGTGGAAAGCCAGGCCCCTGATTTGGTCCTGTTGGCTGCTTGTGTGGGACTCAGCAAGGCACCATGGCCATGTGGAATGACCACAGTTGAGGGCATTGGCTAATCCTAGCTCCACCTTTACTAGCTGACCTTGAATATAATACTTGATCTCCCTGATTCTTGGTTTCCTCTCTTTGTAAATCAGGGAAGAATACTAATACTTTTTAAGGGGCTTTGAGAATGAAAGGATAAGCCAGGTCTTACTGTGGTATCACAGTAAATTCTATTGATACCAGTATTAACAATAGTTGCTAGGTGAGCATGGTGACACATGCCTGCATTGGAGGCCAGTCTGAGTTACACAGTGAGACCCTATCTCAAAAACTAAAGGTAGGTTGGGTGGTGGTGGCACACACCTTTAATCCCATCACTAGGGAGGCAGAGGCAGATGGATCTCTGTGAGTTCAAGGCCACCCTGGGCTATATGAGAGTGAATCAGTCTAAAAGAGAAACAGCACACACCTTTGATCCCAGCACTTGGGAGTGCTACAGCTTCAGTTTTTTTTTTTGTTGTTGTTTTGTGAATTAAAAATTACATAAGCTGCTGCTGGATGATGGTGGCACATGCCTTTAGTTCCAGCACTCCAAGACAGGCAGGCAGATCTCTGAGTTCAAGGCCAGCCTGGTCTACAGAGTGAGTTCTAGGACTTCCAAGGCTACACAGAGAAACCCTGTCTGGAAAACAAACAAAAATTATACAAGCCTTAAATGACATTATAAATGTAAATGGTTGTGTTGTGTATATGCATAGTGAATAAATGTCAGGTGTCCTGTTGGTGGATACAGCCACAGGCAGTCTGCCACCTCCAAGTGGCCTTTAATCTGAAATCCACAGTGTGGCTCAACCTTGGGTCTAGGGAACAGTTTGGTAAAGCAGGAGCTACTAAAGGAGGTCCTGCTGGCCCTGGTGGCCTTGTAGCTCCCATCTCACTTCCTGACTTATTCTTCCGATCTGACATGCTTTCCCCTGTCTCTCGATCTAAGCAGCAGACTTGCTTGGACTGTAAGAAACATTTCTGCATGACTTGCTCAAGCCAAGAGGGGAATGGACCACGCCTCTGCCTCCTCTGCCTACGGTTCCGAGCCACAGCCTTTCAGCGGGAGGAACTCATGAAGATGAAGGTGAAGGACCTGAGGGACTATCTCAGCCTCCATGACATCTCTACCGAAATGTGCCGGGAGAAGGAAGAGTTGGTGTTTTTGGTGCTTGGCCAGCAGCCTGTAATCTCTGCGGCGGACAGGACTCATGCTCCCACCTTGTCCCAGGGCTTCCCTGAGCAGCAGGCCTTCCTCACCCAGCCTCCTATCGGCACAGTACCTCCTACCTCAGCTGACCTCCCTTCCTCACCTGCACAAGCCACCTCTGTTCCCCTAGCCCAGGCTCAGGAAAACCAGGTAGGGGCCAGCACGCAGTCTCTTCGTCTCTGTGTCTGCTCCCGGGCTCATTTTCCTCTCCCATTGCATTGTGGGAATGGGGTGTGAGGTCATGTCTAGATGGTGTGAAGCCTTTCTGCCTGTTGATTCTGGAAATCTGTTTCCTGGTCATTAGGCTCATGCTTTGGCTTTGGGGATGGTAGGCCTGATACCATGTTTTTGTTGGTTTTGTTTGTAAAACCTTCATACCCTAGTTAGACTTAAAAAAGAAAATTCATTGCTCCAGAAATATTGTGAGGAAAGTCACAATTACTTCTCTGGTTTGGTTCAAATTTGCCTTCCTGCTTACTACGGTTTTGACTGGTCTGTCCCGACTGGGCAGGGAGGGAGAGGTGGGAAGCACTGTGATGGGACCTTGCTACTGTCCTGGTCACTGTGTGGGAGCTGTCTAATTAGGTAAGCCAAGAGAAGCAGGTTGAAGCATGGAGAGTCTGTAGTAAGCAGATACTGTCTCCACCCTCAGGAAGCCCTGGGAGAGAGAAGCTGAACATAATACCCACTCTTGGGTTTGTCAGGAGTGGTGGTGTCACACAGATCTGTACAAGTCCCTCGCCGATGCTGCAAGTTACAGGGCATGGACACTGTAAAATTAGGACCTAGGTCAGGACTCTGTAGCCACTGATTTCTTTTTCTTTTCCTTTGTAAGACAGGGTTTCTCTGTGTACAGCCCTGGCTGTCCTGGAATATACTCTGTAGACCAGGCTGCCCTCAAACTCTCAGAGATCCACCTGCCTCTGCCTCCCAAGTGCTGGGATTAAAGGCATGCGCCACCATAGCCCAGTTGATTTTTGTTTAATTTGGTGCTAGGTATTCAGCTCAGGACCTCTAGCATGCTGGGCAAAGGGCTCTCCCATGGAGTTACACCACCAACCCCATAATTAATTTTGTCTGACTCCTTGGTCAGCTGGGGCATACTGTGAGCCTAGAACAATGGAAGAGACCCCTTTGGGTTTGCTAGGTTGCAGAGAGCTCAACTACCATAGTATATCTGTGGAGCATGGAGCTGCTGAGAACCGGCAGCTCCTTTCCCACTTGACATGGCTAACTATGCCTCTAGTCTATGGTTACCTCCTTTGCAAGGACTGGTACTCATTCAGCTCTTAGCACATTTAAAGGCCAGCATGATAGCAGCTGGTCATTAATGCTCTCCTAAGCTCTGGTTCTTGGTATGTTGGACAGGTTTTATTGCTAAACTTTCCTTTTTTGCTTGGATTTTTAGAGCACTCTAGTCTGCATGTAGTGAGCAAAGAGAGGAACCAGAGTACATATTTTTTCATGAAGAACCTTTAGGCAGGTCAGGTGTGGTGCTGTGGAGATGGAGGCACATGGATCAAGAGTTTGAGGATAGCCTCTCCTACATACTGAGTTCAAGGCGTGAGATTTCTTTCTCAAAATAGGAAGCAGGGTTGAGGATTGGAGAATGAACAAACCTTCAGGAGATTTTCAGTGTAAGATTACAAACTTACCATTTTGTCACTAACCAGAATTTTCCTACACCAACAGGTCATACTGTGTACTGTGTGTTATTGGGTACCTTTCTTCTTGATCTTTTAGAAGATTTTAGTGTCAGTTTCCTTCTGTTCTGGTGATACCTGAACCTTGCAAACAGGAAAAACAGGCATGGGGAAGTTAAATAACTTGAATAAGGCTGTATGCTACATCACAGCAAGCAGGGAAACAAATCTAACAGTTCTAGAGCTTTGATGTCCTAGCAGTATTTGCTAGGGAAGGAAGCGTGTGTGTGGGTGTGCAGTAAGCAGAATAGTGGACAGATAGATACTAGTTGTAGATTTTTATTTACCCACTAGGCAAACTGGGAAGATAAAAGTATTTGCAGCCTGGATTCCAGTTGCTCTTTCTAGGGAACAAAAGACATTCAAAAGTTGTCTACCCAGGAACAGATTAGCCTATGGAAGACACCAAAGTTAATACCAAGGGGATAGTACCTGAGGGCCAGTGGATACCACATCTACATAAAAATAGTAGGAAACCAGAGGTGTTGATGCAGACACTGTTGGCTGCATCTCATATGTAGTTCCTGTCATGACTTAGGATGTTTTAAACTCTGCTTTTCTATTTCCATTGCAGTTGTTTGCTTTTTTCTCTCTCTCTCTCCTCTCTCTCTCTCTCTCTCTCTCTCTCTCTCTCTCTCTTTTGTTTGTTTTGTATTGTTTTTCGAGACAGGGTTTCTCTGTGGCTTTGGAGGCTGTCCTGGAACTAGCTCTGTAGACCAGGCTCGTCTCGAGCTCAGAGATCCAACTGCCTCTGCCTCCCGAGTGCTGGGACTAAAGGTGTGTGCCACCACCGCCTGACAGTGTTTGCTTCTCTTGATGAAAGGCTAGAGCTGTCAGGTCAGTTTAGTTTCCCAGGTTGTCCTGTCCTATCTTGTCCTGTCCTGTCTGCCTGCCCCCCCCCCTTTTTTTGTTTTTCTAGACAGGGTGTGTAGACCTGGCTCTTCTGGAATTAGCCCTGTAGACCAGGCTGGCTTCAAATTCAGAAATCTGCCTGCCTCTGCCTCCCTGAATGCTGGGATTAAAGGCGTGTGCCACCACTACCTGGCCCAAGTTGTGTCTTTACTGTTCATCCAGGTTCTAAGGGAAAGACCTGTGAACTCATACATGTCTTTTGCTCTGAGTTTACACAGGCCCTTTGCCTGGAGGCAGCTGGAAGTGAAGAGAAGGAGCTAGGTAGGGGTTTGTGGCAGAAGTGACTAATAAGAGTTAGGAGGTCACAATTCTGACCACTCTGACAAAAGCAAACCCTTTTGAGAAGTTAGAATGCTGAATAAAATGGAACCCAAGCTGAGACATTTGTGCCCTGTAGTCTTAGGGTATTAACTTTCTAAATTCATTAAAACACATTTGAGCAGCTACTGGTATGTCATACCATGTCCTATTGGTTAGAACACATTTCTAGAATGTTGAGAGACTGCAGAGTGTGATTTGGGATGGATGATGGTCAGTTGAGGCCAGGGGGTTTTGGTTTTGGTTTTTTGAAGACAGGATTTCTTTTGTGTGCTTTGGAGCCTATATTGGAACTTGCTTTGTAGATCAGGCTAGTTACGAACTCACAGAGATCCTCCTGCCTCTACCTCCTGAGTGCTGGACTAATGACATGCACATTTGGTTTTTTTTTTTTTTTTTTGGTTTTTCAAAAAAGGATTTCTCTGTGGCTTTGGAAAGCTGTCCTGGAACTAGCTCTTGTAGACCAGGCTGGTCTCGAACTCACAGAGATCCATCTGCCTCTGCCTCCCGAGTGCTGGGACCAAGTGCGTGTGCCACCACTGCCTGCACTCTTGTTCTTGAAACCATCCATTGAAACCTGTTCATATTGTTTCTCTGTCTGAGAGAGGTGCTGTTAGAAAGCAGGCGTTGGTGGTACTGCTTTGGGAGGAGGAAGCCTTGGTTTCTGGGGGGAGATGGGAATACATTTTGAACATTTGTATGAATTGAAAGAGGCCCATGATGTATTAGTCACTGAGACATCTCTGTGGATGTGATGGCACCTTTCTCTTCCCACAGGCCACTGGCCATGTGTCTCAGGACAATGAGGAGCCCGTCTTCCTGGAGAGCACAGCCAGAGTACCTACCGAGGATGAGACCCAGGTGGGCCTCTGCTCGGTCTGTGCCTTTGCCTTTGTTCTTTCCCTGGTCTTCTTGGGATGTTCTTAGGAGCCTCAGCAGACTCAGGTGGAACAAGAAGGGTCAGTCTCTGAGGATTAGCATTCCAGATTCACATTAACATTTATTGCTGTCAGTGTGAGCAGGCAGATGCGAGGCCACAGTGGAGGATGGGGAACCTCCAGGCCCACAGTCTTTCTGAGAGCTGCCAGAGGGCACGCTCGGGTGCTTCTGTGAAAGTCGTCTTCTTGTCCTGTGTTTCTGGGTGCAGTAGTCATTGTTGGGAAAGGAGGTAAGATAAGGCTTTCAGGCCTCATCCACACAAGGGACCGGTACAGAGCATGTTCTAAGGGGCCATAGAGCTTAGGTGAGGCCATGTGTGGAGTCCCTCCAGGGAGGTCTGTACTGAGAAAGGGTTTTCCTATTCTGTCACATTTACTTTCCACAGGAACCCTGTGTGACAGTATAGCAGTCTCTCCTTTGCTGACGGGTAACAGGCTCAAGATGGTAAAAAACTTGAAAAAAAATAATGTCTAATATTTAGTGGTGGCATCAGCATTGAGAATCAGGGCCCTCTAGCCAACTAACTAGTGCTCCTTGTATGCCTAGTATTGCTAAGCAAGTGTGTGGCTGTCTGCACAAAACACAACAGGATGGAGCAGGGAAAGATGAGTCTTTTTTTGCTGTGCCAAACATTGTGCCAGGAACCCTCTTTTCCATGTTCCTTGAGGTTGGTCAACAAAGTGCTTTTTTTTTTTTTTTTTTTTTTAAAGATTTTATTTATTTATTATGTATACAACATTCTACTTCCATGTATATCTGCACACCAGAAGAGGGCACCAGATCTCATAATGGATGCTTGTGAGCCACCATGTGGTTGCTGGGAATTGAACTCAGGACCTCTGGAAGAGCAGTCAGTGCTCTTAACCACTGAGCCATCTCTCCAGCCCCCCAAAGTGCATTTTTTAAATCATTTTTCTATTTGAATTAGAAACAAGATTGATTTACATGACAATCCCAGTTCCCGTCTCCCTCCTCCCTTCCTCCCCTGCCCCCCACCCCCAACAAAGTCATTTTGATGGGTGCTCTGGGTTCCTTGAAGAGAGCCTAAGGGACACAACTGAACCAGCTGATCATCACATCTTTGCTGTTGTAGTCCATTGGCTCCGAGGACAGCTTCGTCCCCGGCCGGAGGGCCTCACTGTCTGACCTGACCCACCTGGAGGACATTGAAAGCCTGACGGTGCGGCAGCTGAAGGAGATTCTGGCTCGCAACTTTGTCAACTATAAGGGCTGCTGTGAGAAGTGGGAACTGATGGAGAGGGTGACTCGACTGTACAAGGATCAGAAAGGACTCCAGCACCTGGGTGAGGGGCCATCTGGGTGGTGACTGAACAGAGTTCTCGGCTGCCATCCCATATGTGATGGCATCAGACTGGCTTGATCTGATCCACATGTGTTTAGCCTCAAAGGAAGCCAGCCTACACATTTGTACTTGTCAAGTGCCAAGACTAGGGACAGGCATTGAATATACAATTTAACCCTCAGAGCAGCCTATGCAATAGGTTGTTTTAGTATCACTTAGAGAGCCAGGATTTGAACTAAGAATTTCTAAGCCCAGTGACACACACTCCATACTCATTCCTCTGCTACCAACAGTACTTACTTTGAGTCAGTTTTGGGTTGGAAAGCAAATTCCAGCATATAGTGGGCTTGAGCTTTTTCCGTGTGTTCACTTCCCAAAGCATTTTACATGGTGTCATTTGAAATGTTTTACACTGTCCTCACACTAATTCATTGAAGATGTTTTTCTACTAAATGCTGAAAACTCCTGCAGAAGAGAAACATGTTTGGCTGTTTGGCTAGGCAAGCACTCTACATATTAAGCTGCATCCCCAGCACAATAGCCATAGCTTGGGTTTTCTTCCCTGGTGATGGGGATCAAACCCAGGGTCTTTGTCCACATGCTAAGCAAGCATTCTATCACTGAGCTTATACACCCCCTCCTTTGACCAGGTTGAACTGGACATTCTCATCACCAGATGATTTAGTTCTTTGAGCATTTTGATTCTTTGCATGATAAGTGGTTGTTAAAGCCAAGCTTCAGGCCTTCCTCTAATAAATTTGAGTAACACAGATTTACCAAGTTAGGGGAAGTCTTAACTGCACTGGTTATAGACCTGGAACCTTACAAGGAGTCTGTCTTCTCTTTCTCTTTGGGATTATCTCGAGTCTCCTTAGAGTTCCAAAGACTTTGGGAGTAGGTTTTTGTTGTTTGTTAATTCTGGATCTTACTCTGCATCCCTGTCTGGGCAGGAACTCGCTATGGAGATTAAGTTGGCCTCAAACTCACAGAGGATCTACCTGCCTGTCCCTCCTCAAGTGCTTAGAGTTAAAAGTGTGTACTACCCTGTCCTGTCTTGTGCTGCTGCTGCTCCTGCTGCTGCTGCTGCTGCAGCTGGTGGTGGTGGTGGTGGTATTTTGTTCTTTTGAGAAAGGGTTTCCCTGTGTAACACCTCTGACTGTCCTGGAACTCTCACAGAGATTTGCCTGCCTTTGCCTCCCTAGTGCTGGAACTAAGGGTGTCTACAACCACCACCACCACCACCCATAGTTTTTAAAAATAGGCTCTTAATAGCTCAGGCTGGCCTGGCACTCACGATCCTTCTTCTGCCTCTTGTGCTGGGATTATAGGCATGTACCACTATGCCTGACAATAATATGACTGCATGTGGGAGCTTTGGCGGACTCCTTGGCTCATTGAAATAGTCGAATTCTTCATTCCTTTTACTCAGTGATGGCTTCAGAGGCAACATTAAAAAATATTATGTATGTGCAGTGTCCTGTCAGCTGACACAATGGTCACTGTAGACCAGTGGAACCTGCTTTTCTCAGAACAAAGCAGTTAGAACAGCTGGGCTCCATGTGAGTCCTCAGCACAGAGTTGGTAGGGTGAGCTAGTGCCATCCAGATTCCAGCCAGGTCCCGTTCTCAACCTAGAGCTGATTGGAGTTTGGAAATGATGGCAGGGTGATGGGAGACTACCTTTGTACCATTGCACTCATATTCACACATCTTTTTCTTTCCTTTTCAGTGTCTAGCGATGAAGACCAAAACGGTATGTAATTATTTCTGTTAAGGATGGACTTAGGCTTTTAGTGGTTTTGTTTTCCTGTCTGCAATCCTGATGTCTGTCCATGGTCTGTCTAAGAATTGTAGGCATATGTGTTTATAGAGAGGCTGTGGAAAGCACAGACTCAGGCATTCTCCTTGTCCCACCCCTATGAAGGAAGACCTCAGCAGCCTTGGGGCTTGGCTGATTTGGAGCAGATACCCTGTTTGGTGATTACCATGCTCAGTCTCTCCATGTGGCCTGTTTGGGGAGAGTTTATACTTGCAGAGATGTCATTGGGTTTTTTGTTTGTTTGTTTGTTTTTTAAGATGGTGTCTGTCTGTGTAGCCCTGGCTGCCCTGGAACTCAACTAGGTAGACCAGTTGGTCTCAAACTCACAGAGATCACCTGCCTCTGCTTCCCAATTGCTGGCTGGGATTAAAGGCTTATATCACTGCACCTAGCCCACTTTGGCCAGCCAAACCAAAAAGCAAGGGTGGTGACCCAAGCAATGGTAGTCAGAGATGCTCAGGAGACAACAGAGGTGTTCTGTGGTTGCCTTCTGAGTTCCAAATGCATATCCCACCTGGCTACCTTAATACCCACCTCTGTTAAAGTCCACCACTGGGGCATCCTCAGAGCACATTATAGAACTCCAGTAGCATGTGGGATGTCACACACATTGTACATTTTTGAAAGCCTTGAGGAATGTGGGCACAAACTTCCCATAGCTATTCTCAGTAGTGTTACAGCCTACAGAGCACTTTAAAACTTTTGCAGAAGACTTCCCGAATTTATCCTAAATAAAATGGTCTTCAGTGTTGAGCATTTTTCTTAGATCCTGTAATCATCTGGGTTACCCCTCTCCCCACTCCCACCCCAGATAATACCAAGATCAGATTGTATCTACTTAATACCATCCCTTCTTTCTTCTCATTCGCTGGAGAGTGCTGAGCACTGAGTTGATGCATTTATTGTCTCCCCTCAGTGAAGTAATGAGTGACCAGAAGTCTGTAAATGACTCAAGCTTGTTTTAGGTATGCCTGTACCTTTCTAATCTCTGTATTAAAGCTAAAAGAGGCTTTAACTAGGTTGAACAATCACAGCCAGCTGCCTCCTGTGGGAAGTGTTCTTTGACTTGATGTGTATTTCATACAAAGTTGTATTTTAAATAACTACATCAGAATACTCCAGAATCACCAAACTAGCAATAAACAAATATACATGAGAGGATTTGGGCATTCAATGACCTGACTTTTTAGACTAGCCCAGAATAGAAAAGAAAATCCAGAAGTAACAGATAAAGGATAATTCCCCTGGAGAAGTCCAGGTGGGAGAGGTGGCTGGTATGAGAACAATTCTGCTTTATGTCTGCTTAGTTTAGGCTAGTTTGACACACTGGAGATGGGTGAGCTTCTAAATGTAAAGGTTTTTCTCAGCTGAACTAGGAAAGCAGCTGTGTCCACCACTAGCATAAGCCAGTTAGTATTCATTGAGAGTTCTTGTTCTCAACTATCGGGTAGTCAATATTGTCTTGATAGCCTCTGCCCTGGAGCCCTTGTCCAGAAGGCCAAATGTCTATGATTTGAATGTGAGCTACCTCAGCAGCTCTGTGTCCTTGGGCAAGCCACTTAACTCTAGCCCAAGTTGTCTCATTATAAAATATCCTTCAACACCTCTGGGTTAATACAGAAAGCTCTTAGGGCCCTGCCTGACACATGGTAGGCAGCTAGTCAATGTGAGCAGTGATCATTCTCTGGGCAGAACGTTCTTTATCAGATGTTTAAAGAATAGCTACCACGTGACTCATTCACGTTTTGGGAATTCAAAGATAAGTATCTGACCTCAGAGCACAAAGGAAATGCTAAGCTTATGATTGAACAAGCTGAATTAAGAAGTTCTTAGTCTACTGTGGGAGATAGGTGAATTATCATGAAGTATGATAAGCAGTCAGGGGTAGGAATAAAATTCAATGATTGGAGCACAGAAAAGGGAGCAGCATATCTGCCCATGCCTCTCTATCAGGAAGTCTTTTCAGAAGCCTAGAGGTAGATTGTGGGATAGCAATGGGGTCCCACATGATTCTCAGCTTTATTAAATTGGGAATTTGTTTATAGATAAGACTTATGATTCCTAATGAACCATTTATTACAGTTCTGCTTATATTCAGTGTTTTCTGAACCAGCTTTATCATTTCTGTACATTCTGCCTCAGGGGATGTGGTACCTAAACCCTGCTCACTGGCTGTATTACAGCTAACTCCTTGTCCTAAGTTCCTTCTTTCTAGTTCTGAGTCCTGGGGTGTGTTTGATCTGAGAGTACCACCCTCAAACCTCTTTCTCTCTGGAGTGGAGGCTTAACAAGCAGCTGGAACTGGTTTGGTTACTGGGGTTTTTTTTTGGGGGGGGGCACTCTATTTGAAGGAAGTGTGAATTTGAGGGTTTGCTCTATGCAGCCGCTCTCATACTCAGACCTAATCTTTTCTTCCTTTCTGCCTTGTTTGTCCAGGGGGAGCAGTGCCTTCTGGTCTGGAGGAGAACCTGTGTAAAATTTGCATGGACTCACCCATTGACTGTGTTCTGCTGGAGTGTGGCCACATGGTAACCTGTACCAAGTGTGGCAAACGAATGAATGAATGTCCTATCTGCCGGCAGTATGTCATCCGAGCAGTGCACGTCTTCCGGTCCTGAGGGCTAGCATTGGCTTCTTCAGTGCCTTACAGGACATAGCTCAAAGTGTCTGGGCTCAGGGTTGGTCTGATGCACAAAGGTTGAGAGAAACTGGCAGTGTTCTCAAGACTAGGACAAGCAGAGGTGCTTGGCATACCTGTCTTGCCATGGTGTATACCTTAGGTGGCAGAACCCAAAGCCAGTGGGAACTGATTCAGATCACATGGGTGAGTGCCTGCTTCTCAGATCATGGGGTGGTGATGGTAATCAATGAAGAGGACTTTCTGGAACTTGGACCATGTCTTCTTCCTTTCCTGAAAACCTAAGACACATTTCACACATACCATATACCTATTCCTCCTGTTTCATCAATCAAAAGTCCTGCTGGAAATGGTTCCTGTCCCCCTAGCAGTTGGATTTAAAACACACAGAAACCAGAAATTTAAGTCTGCTACATTGCCTAAAATCCATTTGTTTCGATATATATATATATATATATATATATATATATATATATATAATTTATTTATTCTGACCTAGTATTCCCTAGGTCAGAATTTGGATCAGTAGACTGGTCTCTGGTGAGAAATTAAGTCTAAATGCTGTAGAAGAATTTCTAAGTTGAGTCACTTCTGTTAGTGTTGGGGTTGGAAATGATCAGTGCTGATCTTACCCCCTAACTGCTGGGGAGTCCCTAAGAGATGGTGCATGGGTCATCTCTGCTGCTTTTCTTTGGGTTTGACTGCACCATCCTTAACTTGGGATTATGAGGAAAGAGAAATGAAGGCAATGGCTTTCTGTTGATCGCTGGCTTTTGATCCTTAATTTCAGTAGGCTAAAGTTTTTTTCAGAAAAACACTTTAATAGTTTCTCTTCTTTGGAATTTAAATTTGCTTACCGAAGGCATAGGAACTTCAGCAAAGAGCTCTGCTCTTGTTTAGCTTGGCTGCTCATGGAGATCCCAGAGAGCAGACATATAGGACAGTGTATGAGGTATTGGAAGGTGCTGAGAATGGACTATGCCCATGGCTGTTTCTCAGCCTTTTGGGCAGGTCAGAATGAAGCATTCTCTAAATCATGATTCCAGCCTCATGGGGTCTTCACACCACTGACACAGCTGAAGGGTTTGAGTGGTGTTTGCTGGAACAGCTCAACAAAGAACAAAGGAGCTGTGTGCTCCTCTGTAGGGTGCACCCTCAGCACTACAGCACCTGGATAAAACTGCTACCCTCTGCCATGCAGCTGAGACTGGAAGAACCAGTCATGATCCCGGAAAGCAGAGGGACACCTCTAAGGGGCTACTAGAAAGAAATACTTAGGCTTTTTTCCCATCATTAACCACTAAATTCCTTCAAGGAATCCAGTAGTTGTCAGAGGCACCCAGGCCACTTTACCTATGCATTCTAGGTCCACATGACCAGGTTGTGGGTCAAAGCCTTTGTAGGTATCAAGACTCAAGAGACCCCTCTATAAAGACTACCTTCCCTCCCTCTCTGGATAGTGAGTAGTCTGGATTGTAGTTTACAATGTCTTCAGTTTAGCACAGCCCACCAGTTTTGCTGCTCCTGGACTCCACTGTGAAACAGGTCTGATTATGCAGCTCAGTTAAGACTTAATACTTCAAATCTGGCTCTCTCTTCTTACAACTGCTTTCTCTTCTGAGGCCTTACTTCCCTACCTCCTAAACAGGAACAGAAATAATATACTGATGGTCCGTTAGTAACCAGAGGAAAAGTCAAAGCTAAGGTTACTTACTTTGAAGAACTTTTATCTTTTGGGAAAAAAAAACCAAAACACATGTCCAACAACTTTTTTATTGTTATACCAAATAAAAGTTGGAATTCTAAGATTCCATCCCCATTAATATCTAACCCAGGTAGAAAACCTGATTTTTTTTTTTTCTTAAATACTTGAGCCCCTTTCTGTTCTTCACGGATCCTTGGTCTTAATTAACATGGAAACACCTAATCCTTTCAACTAGTCTATGGGTTTTGATGTGATTTCGCCAAGATTTCAGTTCATACTTAGTTTTAAAAGACAGACAGCTGACTGGTTTATCGGTTGGAATAGCTGGTTCTAAACTAATAAGCTGTAAAGAATTAATAGTCTATATTGTACAAATTTGTTAAAATCTTTTGGATGTGAATGTGTTGCTCCAAGTGGCTTATATTAAGATTTTTCTCACCTGGGTGTTAAAAAGCAAACCCAAATGTGTATTTTTTGTTACAGAGCTCTGCTTTATAATTTTGTAATAAAGTTTAAATACAGATGCCTGTCCCATCTGGTGTGGGGACGATGCCAGAGGCCTCACAGTACCAGTGAGGCAAGCATCAGGCCACATGCACAGAGCTATTGCTCTTCAGGGATTACATTCCACTCTTGGAGATGCTTGGGCCGCCTGGTCTCAGCCAAGGCCCCCTTGCTGCATGCTGTGACTGCCTTCAATCACAAGTGTGTATGGGAGAAATTGAGGGACTGACTAGAAGTGAAGCTAGCGTAAGGACGATTCTCAAGAGCAAATGGGAAGCACCATGTGAGTTATTTACACTGTCCCACTGGAAAAGGACCTTCAAGAGCTAAGTGGAAAAGAATCTGAGGATACCTAGGTAGCCAGTTCTGAAAGACAGACAGTAGCTTTTGGATGTAGTTGTGACAGACAAGAATGGCTCAAAGGTTGACCCAGCCTAAAGAGCTAACTGCAAAATAAGCATAGGCCTATACTAACCTACCTGACCAGGTGCCTGAGGGCAGGGGAGTGTGTCACCTCCTGGAGAACTGGATGAGACAGGATTCTACCCTGTCTCTTGGAAGAGAACAAATCTTGCTAATGGCTGACCTGTTCAGCATCCAGTGAGGACCCCCCATTGCTGGCACTATGTAAACAAAGGCCAAAGAGAGCAGGGGAGGTTTAGGGTGATATTGCTTAAGGTTGTGTGGAAAGACAGGAAAAGGTACAAAGGTGTACATACAGTCTAAATCTCCCTGCAGAGGGAAGTATATCAGAAAGAATGGAAGCAATATACAAACACTGGATAGTTAATTGGAGTGAATACATAGTAAGGCATTCAAGGGACAACTTTTGAACTTTTGGCTCTGTGTGGTGGGGAAGAATTGTCTTTGATGTTGTTCTACCCAGCTGCTTGGTTCAAAGAAATTGGAGATCTATGCAGGCAAGTACTCAAAGCAAAAAGAAGCTTTTGCTTTGAGGATGGATTAAAAAGTATCTTATTCACTCTGCCCTAGTTGTCAGAGAATCTTCTACTCACTGTGACCTCCCTCTGCACATTTTAAACATGTGAAAGGCAAAGCCATATTAATAAGCAACTCTCTAGTAGGGTATTAGGAATACATGGGGTGGTAGGTTTGTATCTTAGAGACCCACACAAGTGTTTAAGAGGTTTGGTCACAGTGACCTAGCTTATAGATTACAGATAACCCTGTTGAGTTGGTAATAAGAATAGAATCCATCTTCAAGAGGTAGCACAGCATAGATTTGGAAGCCAGTCTACCACAGTACCTTGAGAAGCCCATGCTCAGAGCCAAGTAAAATTCGCCATGTAAGCCAGACCTCCCAGATAACATCTATACCAGATGGTTCTGTGCCTACACAAGGCATCTGAGGTTACTGACAGTTGTCCAATGACTCAGGAGCAATGCCTCTGCCCCTTCCTTTTGGGGAACTGATTTCTGTGATAGTCACTGGTGACTTGAGACCATTTGAAGTTGTCTTAAAATGAGGGCTTTAGTGTCACATTTCAAGGGCTTGAGAACCAGATGAGGCTAGTTTAGGACACTTCCACTGTATGCAGTTGTACAAAGAAATCATCTTGCCTTTCAAGTACATCTGCCACAGGTGGCACAGGTGCCAATCTTAGTAAGCAGGGTATGTAGAGTTTCCTGGCTATGGATCTGTACTCTATGAAGCCTCTGTCTCCAAGGAGGCCACTTTTCCTATAGATGACAGCTGGAACCTGGAAACTACAATCACTGGAGTACACTTTTGTTTTTTCACATGAGGTGTCACCCTAGCAAAAGGGATCAGGCATAATAAAGGTTTTGCCACACATAAGTGTCTGAGGACAGTTTAAATACAGCTTTTAAGATGCACATGGAAGTGAAAAGGAGCAGACAAGGAAAGCAGATTCTGCTCAGCCTTCATTCCTTAGTTATTGAGGAAAACTGGAGATGGAACTGGGGGGGGGGGGCGGGGGGGGGGTGGTGGGGGGGGGGGGGGGGGGGGGGGGGGGGGGGGAGGAGAATGCGTTTCGATCCTGACTTCTTGCTCCTCATGCACTACCATGCCTGGCTTGGATTTCTTATAAAATTGTATTTCAATGGCAGAACACTGTGCCGAGCATGTATAAGGGTGTAGGTTGGTTATCAGCACCTCAAATAACTAAGGTTGGCTTCTTTTTCAACAAGAAGACAAAGCTAGCACCCAGATCTGAAAGATCTAGTTAAACTAGCAAGAGAATTGCTTGTGCCCATAGCAACTCCTGATCCATAAGGGACCATGAAGAGTTGGAGGGTGTAAGAAGGTGCACTGCTTAGCGAACAGCCCCTACCATCCAGGCTGAGCCTCATGTAGAAGTAGAGTAGGAACGTGAGGACAGCTCAAAGAGCAAGCAAGACCAAAGTCCTAGCAGGGAGCTATCAGCCTCCGTTTCCGGATACATGCCCAAATCCACTCTGGAGAGACCAGCTGGGCCTCAGTGTTGTCGTCCCTGTTACCCAGCACATGTGTGGCGGAGGCCATGTCAAATTCTTGTACCAGGTCTCCATCGAATGCCACAAAGTAGCGTTTGAGCTGTTTGAAGTCTGGTGTGGAAGGAGGCAAGTAGAGCCGCACCCCAGTGAAGACATCCAACAGTACCTGCAAACAGAGTGGTCCATACAGAGTGAGTCCTATACTGGGTGCAGGTAGGACTTCACCCACCAGAATACAGGACATCCAGGGATGCATAGAGTCTAGGATTTAGGACACAGATGGTGGCAGAGGTGTTGCTAACCCATCCTTCAGTCATTCTGGCTGACCCAGGTCTGACAATTCCTCCTGTCTCTAAGAGAAAAGGGAAAAGTGATGGGCTCCAACATCTGAAGCCAAGATATGGAAAAAGAGTGGCTCTTGCAGAGAGCAAAATACCTTCTAAAGATGAAGTAGTCTGCTCTGCGGTTTTCTAGATAGAGGGCCTGGGAATTTTGCTCATCAGAGTGGATGAGTTCAAGGGCTTCAGGGAGGGAAGACAGATGGGAATGATTTCTATGAGAAGTGGGTTTAGGCCCTGAGATTTCAGTTTATGAACTTATGCTTGGGCATGGGTGCAATCTCTCTGCTGATCATGTTTATTTACCCTCTGGGCCAGAAGCTACCCAGGGTACCACAGACTAGCTAGTTGCTGATCTCAGTATGTATTCAACAGATGTTGTCAGACCAGGGACTAACAAAAGGGAAAACAGGCTCCTTAGCTGGGAGTTGTCTATGCCATGGCAATTTCCCTTTCCTTGCTGGGTGGACCTGCTCCGAGAGACACAAATGCACTGCTGCACCCCACACCCAGACTGGGCTTCGTTTTTTGTTTTTTTTTTTAATGTGAACTGTAACTTGACACTGGTGGCTGGTTGGGCCCCTGCAGCCTCTCCTGCTAGGCCGGCGGCTCTATCTCCTGCCTGTTGGCACAGCTCTCCTTCCTCTTTGCTGTCTGGCCCGCCGCCTCTGCAAGGCAACAAGAGGGCACAGGGTGGAGCAGCAGGACTGCTCGCTTGCCCAGAACAGCAAGGGAAGGACTCCAGTAGCCTTCCCCCAGACCAATACACTTTTTCAACTTCACACACAGGAGCTTGGAACTCCAGGCTGAGCCAATCTGGCCTGTCTCAAGCACTATTATTACCCTCACCTTTGTCGGGCACTGGGTTTCATCAGCAGCTTTCCTCTTCACCCCTACTTTCACTGGAGAAGACTTCATAGCCAGCTTGTCTCCTGGTTTCATGGGGGAAGGCTTTGGAATCACCTTGTTGCCTGTAGGACATCAGAGGTCAGGGTATAGTTAGTAAGTACTTACCAAGCATGTATGAGGCACTAGGGCCAATCCCTAGCACTGTACAAACTGGGACATGCCTATAATCCCAGCACTAAGGAGGCAGAGGCAGAAGGCTCAGGAAGTTCAGGGTCATGATGGGCTGGCTACATAGCGAGTTAAAGGCCAGCCTGGTGTAGAAATCTGGCTATTAAAAAAAAGAAACTACAAAACCCAAACCCAAACCAAATCAAGAATAGTAAGAGGCAAAAAGGGACTGCTGGTGTCCCTGGAAGTTGGGGGGGGGGGGCCCGCAAGAGATGGGTCCAGCACTTCTGCTATGCTCATGAAAGGGGAGCAAGGCTATCAGCTATACCCTTTAGCTCCAAGGTCAGACTGGCCTGCCCTGGGTACTTTGTCAATCAGGTTTGCTGAGCAGGTAAGGGTTGCCTGTCTGGTAAACAGTTTCTGGTCCATGGCTAGTCATGCCAGGAATGCACTGAACATCTGTTGTAGCGGACACCTCATCACAGGATGGCAGAGTCAAAACGTATGCCTGCCCTGCCATCCCTTCCTGCCCACACTCTCTCCATCACCTCAGGCCCTCTTACTCACCATCTCTGCTGTTGGGGTTATTCAGCTTCTGTTTGGCCTTCTTGTCACTGGCAGAGGACTTACTAGGAGGTGCCTTGGGGGCCTTGTGGGGTGCAGCAGACCCAGCAGTGCCCTCATTCTCACCATTGCTACCTCCGGTACTGGAATTCCCCTCATCTCCAGCCACTACATCGAAGTCTGCCTTTTCTTTGGACAGCTGGTATAGTTCCTAAGAAAGGTGGGGGGTGGGGTGGTGGTTAGGTGTTGCCACTCCCTTCCCTGACCTGACCTGGGTCTAGGAGAGTTGTGCCTGACACCTGTAGCTAGGGAACAAAGTAGAGCCATGTAATCTGAGTAATTGTGGTAGTACAAATGACCTTTCGTGGCCCCCAAACTTTTCTTTTTTGGAGGGAGGCTGGCTTTAAACTTGAGAGGCTGATTCCTATTTAACCCCTATAATGCTGAGATTACGGGCTCAGATGAACCACAGTTGTTTTTGAGACAAGGTCTCATTGTGTAGCTCTGCCTAGCCTGGAATTCACAATATAGATCAGGCTGACTTTGAACCCAGAGAAACTTTGTCTCTGCCTCCTGAGTGCTAGAATTTTAAAGGTGTGCAATACTACATTCTGCCTAAATCCCAGTTCTTTTTCTTAAAAAAAAAAAAAAATGTATGTTTGCCTGAATATGTGTCTATGCACCGCACCATGTAAATGTCTGGGCCCTCGGAGCCCAGAAGAGGGTATGGAATTCCTTAGAACTGGAGTTACAGACAGTTGTAAGCTGCAGTAGGAATCAAATCTGTGTTCTCTGTAGGAACAGCCAGTGCTCTTAACCATTGAGCCATCTCTCTATTCTGTGAACCTCAGTTCTTAATTAATGAAGTAGGGCTATGTCCCAGGCAACTTCTAAATAGACTGTGGGAAGCCAGAGGGACCTTCAGGGGACCTGAAGAGGGTGAGTTGGGAGGAAGAGTTTCAATTCTAATTGCTCTCCTTGTTTTGTCCCCGTGGAACAGAGAAAATAAGCCAAATGACATGTGAACAGGCCAGATGCCCAACACTATGGGCAAGACAGTGGGGTGGTGGACATTTACAAAGCCTAGGAACTGGCACCTTGAGTTGGGGGAGGTTAGTGGCAGATTTCCAGTCCTTGTCGTCCCGGATTCGAGTGCATCGAGGAAATCGGATGGAGATCCCATCAGCAGTGTGAGCCTCAGATTTGGAAAATTCTGCCCCTGTGATCTCCCACACAGCAGCTTTCTGTCAGGAATAAAACAGTGATGACTGATTAGCTCTGTGCCTATCATTTGGCTAAATATCCAAGTCCCATCCTAGGTGGACCTTTAGCAAAGCTGGGCTAACTTCTGTGGCACTGGAGAACTACATACTGCTTCCTGGGTGGGGACCATAAACCATCAAGTCGATACCTTTGGGTCTGAAACAATGAAGTCAGGATAGTAGATCTTGTTGATCTTCAGCCAGCTAGGTATCTTGCTGGGATCCTGAAAGAAAAAAGACACTGTTTTTGGGTTGTTGTCATGCTGGAGCAAGACTTAAACCCTGTCTTTGCAATGAGACTGTGAAATATGGCTTAGCTAAAAAGAATAAACCCTTAAACCATGTAATCCTTCCTCTCCAGAGAGGCCATGGCTCACAGGACACGGGCCATCATCCACAAGGCAGGGCCTCTGAGATTTTAAAGCCTAATCTTGCTTCTATGGCGAAGAAGCAAGCTCCTTACTGAATTAAAAACGAGACCTGCAGACCTCAGTCCCCACAGCATAGCCTGTGTCTCAGGAGGGATGACTGTCAGGGCCAGAGTCAATCAGGCGCCTTTCTCACCTTGCTGATCTTCACCATATCTAGCTCCTTCTGCAGTCGGGCAAGTGTGGCATCATCGTGGCCTCCAGCACATTTGGTGACAGTGCACCACTTCTGGCTGTCAGGGTCATAGCAGCCCATGAGGAAGATGGACATCATACCACCTGGGAAGGGAACATGAACGAGTGTGGGCTAGAATAGGCAAGGCCCGTGATAGGCTGGTTGGAGAAGGGCCAAGACCTTAGTAGCATCAAGAGTGTTAGAGCATGGGCTGGAGAGATGGCTCAGCGATTAAGAGCACTGACTGTTCTTCCAGAGGTCCTGAGTTCAATTCCTGGCAACCACATGGTGGCTCACAACCACCTTGAATGAGATGTGGTGCCCTCTGCTGGCCTGCAGGCAGAAGACTGTATCCGTAATAAATAAAAAATCTTAAAAAAAAAAAAAAAAAGTGTTAGAGTAGCCGGGCGGTGGTGGCACACACCGTTTATCCCAGTACTAGGGAGGCAGAAGCAGGCAGATCTCTGAGTTTGAGACCAGCCTCTACAGAGTGAGTTCCAGGACAGCCAAGGAACAGAGAAATCCTGTCCCAAAAAAACAAAAGTTAATCACACTCAATTTACTGGGCTCTGAGGAATTGAACAGTGCCTGACATTTGCAGGCACAACCTGACACACTGCCTTAAGTGTTCCACAGACCTCATCTTCTTCCCCAGTCAGGAAAAATTTCCTGAGAAGGAAGCTTTTTTTTTTTTTTTTTTTTTTATTTTTTCAAGACGGGGTTTCTCTATGTAGCTTTGGAACCTATCCTGGCACTTGCTCTGTAGACCAGGCTGGCCTCGAACTCACAGTAATCCATCTGCCTTTGCCTCCCGAGTGTGGCATTAAAGGCATGTGCTTCAGAAGCTATTCTTGACCACCTTCTTTTTATTATTTTCCCTTTTTTATTAAAACTTATTTGTTTTGTTTTGTTTTTTGGTTTTTTGAGACAGGGTCTCTCTGTGGCTTTAGATTTAGAGCTGTCCTGGAACTAGCTCTTACAGACCAGGCTTGCCTCTTGTAAGGCCTCTTGTAAGAGATCCGCTTGCCTCTGCTTCCTGAGTGCTGGAATTAAAGGCATGAGCCACCACCACCCAGGCTTATTAAAACATGTGGGTATGTCTACATGTATGCAGCCAATCATACTCTAGTATTCAAACATGCTACAGTGTACTGTATGTGTGTGTGTGTGTGTGTGTGTGTGTGTGTGTGTGTGTGTGTAGGTCAAAGTCAACTTGTGGGAGTCAGTTCTTTGCTTTCACCATGTGGGTGTTAGTGATCAATTTAGGCTGAAAGGCTTGGGGGACATCAGCTCTTCTTACCCAACTTCTCTGTGTAAGCCTGTAGCTCCCAGATGTCCCTGCCTGATGTGACCAGGGCCCCAGATCTCAGGAACAAGCAATCCATGACCAGCAAATCAAGCTAGCAAGAAGGTCAGTGTGTGTATTCTGAGAGAGTACAACCACAGGAACCAGACGCACTGACCTTTGCTCCCTTGCCCATAGAAGGCCCCAAGAACCACCAGATCAGCTGTATCTGCCATGGCCCCCTCGTTCAAATAATCTTTCTTAACTTTCAGCCAGTGTCGCTTCCCAGGCTCGTATGTACCCTGAGGGGACACAATAAACAGATCACAGAGAATGGAAACTGCAGGAGGGTAGGGTCTGTCTGTTCACCAGATCTCTGTGTCCAGGCACTACAGGACACACAAAGCCATTTTCAGATTCCAGAACTGGCCTGCCCCAGTTAAGTAGGAAAGACTCCCATGTAGACTTCACTCTCTCCCACCTACAGTGCCTGTATCTCCCCAGGAGAAGACAATGGTGTAGCCATCTTACCTTTACATCCTTTAGCACCAGCCCTTCTAAGCCCTCTCGGATCACCCGGTTTATCATGTCAGCCAGGTCGGAGGCTTTCTGAGGGACAGTTAAGAGAGATGTGCAGATAATGTGAGAATATACAGCAGTGTTCATTTCTATACACTATGTAAAAACATACAAGGAAAAGGTCCTAAAGAGCTGCTGTGGCTTTGAGATGTAGGCTGCTTACCTAGGAAAAGACCTTCATTCCCTGCCCTTCAGAGTGAAGACAATTGGCAATATATGTACGCCACAAAAAATACTCAAGGCTCATCCTCTCACACCCCATGGGGTTCTCTGCGGTTTTATTTGTTTATTTTGTTTTTTCGAGACAGGGTTTCTCTGTATTGTTTTGGAGGCTATCCTGGAACTCGCTCTGTAGACCAGGCTGGTCTCGAACTCACAGAGATCCGTCTGCCTCTGCCTCCCGAGTGCTGAGATTAAAGGCATGTGCTATCAATGCCTGGCCCTCTGCTTTTTTAAAACCATCAGATGCCCACCTAGGATAGGAATTTCACTTACTGTGACTTGCTTCATTTCTGAGAACATGATCCGGTTCTGGATTTCAACCATGTTGTCGTGAAGAAGCTTCCTTCTCTCACAGAGAGGCCTGAGGGAAATAGCAGAGCTGAGGGAAAGAGCCTCCCTCCTACCCTTAGCAGGGATTCTAACAAGGGACAGTGCCCAATGATAAAACTGATGCTCCCATATGAACAGTTCTGCTGCCAAGGGTTGTAAGGACTCCATCAACACTGAAGATGCACCACTGTGAGCTGTGGCTCACAGCTAGTTCATAGCTGTGCTTTCTCCTCTAATGAGCAAACCTGAATAATGTTACAATTCTTGTGCTAATGCCCCACTCTGTCTAACCCTAACCACCAGGCTGGCTAGCCTCTGAGTGAACAACGTGACAGGTTATGCACCATACCCTGACTAATCCCTAACCCAAGGCTGGTATAGGCTTTGGGGCCCTAACCCATCAATTTTTTTTTACTTATTTTTAAAAAAAAACATTTAAAATTTTTTTAACCTATTTTATGTGTGTATGTGTGTGCTGAGAGTACAACTTTTTAAAAAGAATTTATTTTTGCCAGGCGGTAGTGGCGCATGCCTTTAATCCCAGCACTTGGGAAGCAGAGGCAGGCGGATCTCTGTGAGTTCAAGACCGGCCTGGTCTACAAGAGCTAGTTCCAGAACAGCCTCCAAAGCCACAAAGAAACCCTGTCTTGGAAAAAAAAAAAGAATTTATTTTTAAATTTTATGTGCATTGGTGTTTTGCCTACGTGTCAATTTGTGTGAGGGGTGCCAGATCCTCTGGAACTGGAGTTATAGACAGTTGTGAGCTGCCCGGAATTGAATCCAGGTCCTTTGGAAGAACAGCCAGTGCTCTTAACCTCTGAGCTATCTCTCCAGCCTTCTACTTTCTTAGTCATGGATATAGCATCTACAGAAACAGGATTAAGGAGATATCCTAAGTGTGTAAAGGACAAGTATCAGTTATGTAGGTCTAAGCCTGTGGATGCAGCTGATTATAGACTGCCAGATCTCCCCTGGATGTTTCACCCATGGCATCATCCAATCTCTTTCCTTAACTGAAGCCTCTATAGGCCCAACCCAGATAAATCCCTAGTGCACATAGATTCTGGGTTTAAAAATGGTAGTCAGGGAGTAAAATCCAATGGTAGATCATATGCTTAATACATGTAAGGCCCTGGATTTCATCCCTAGTACTGCAGAACATGAAGAAACCAAAAACCAAACCAAAACCAAAAAACCACACACACACACAAGAAAACATACCAAAACACTAGCTAACTTACCTGTCCATCAAGCTGACATCATTAAAGTAGATACAATCAAAAACAAACAGGCAAACATTAGCATCCTGGAAGGCAGCTTTCTGTGAAGAAACGAGGCAGTAGGTACATGTGGGCACAGAATCGGGAGTAGCAGTCCGCTTCTGTACCCCCAGTGGACAGTCCTGTCAGTGCTCTGCAGGGCCCGGGCTATAGAACACTCCATAGATTGTGCTCACCAAACTTCAGATCTCCAACATTTCCCAAAAGGCTCAGGTGTTAAAGGCTTGGTCCCCAGGGTGGTGAGGTAGGGGAAGGTTTTAAGTCAATAGTGGTGTGCTCTTAAAAGGACTGTGGGGCTTCCCCTCTGTGCTCCTCAGTTCATGAGGTAAATGATTCTGCTCTGCCACCTGTTCTTTCTAGGATGTGATGCATTAGTAGTGAGCTAAAGGTATGGGCCTTTGTAGTCCCTGACCATAATCTCTAGAGCTATTCTCCTTCACAGAATAGTTACCTATGGTATTTTGTTACAGTAATAGAAAAACATGTGCTGAACTGAAACCAACTAATTCTAAGTCCTAAGTGACTTATTCCCTCTCTGCTCCCTTTTTGGATTAACAGCACATTTTGCAAACAGGACTCTGAGCTGTACCTTGTGCACTCCCAGAGTCCCAAAGGGCAGTGGTTTGCCAGTGTTGTTGTCAATCAGGAGCACTTCGGAGTCCAAGATCATGCTCTGACCCCCAGGAAAGGCTTTGGGGATGTAGTCCTTAAAGTGGGCCACCTAGAAATAGAAAGGTAGCTTTGAAAAGGATGACTTGGCAGTTAAGACCTAAAACCAAGCCATAGTGATCAAAGCCTAGGCAAAATAGTACAGAGAGTATGTGGAAGCCCAAGTAATGGGTGAAATGCACTGCTTGGCTGTGTCAGTCCACCCTGAAAGTAGTCCACCCAGGCTATCTGCTTTACTCTCTAGTCTAGACCCAGAAAATGGTCAGCCTCTTCTGAGTCACATTCTGTGGGCTATACAGACAGTTGGGAGGACAAAGGAAAAACAGAGAGAGTATGCTGGGAGGACATGGAGGTAGACAACTGGAAGGAAAGGGAAGAGAAATGATGGGCAGGTGGAGACTAGTGTCCATTACAGAAGATTGGTATTATCGGGCTGAGGACTGGGATGGGGGAAAACAGAAGGGTCGCACAGCTGACAGCAACAGAGCCCTGGGAACAGTGAGAAATGAGAACAGGGTCTTCTCTAAGTGGGAGCTCTGAAGTCCCTGCTATCTTCAGAGTATGACCCTGGCGCTGGATTTTTCCTAACATAGAGCCCTAATTTCTGACCACTCAGTGGGTGAGGTCCCACTGCAACCCCACCTTTTCCTTGACAAAAGATACCAAAGAGCCAGATGATGGTCTAATTCCTCAGCTGAGAGCAGCACACAGGCAGTCACTGCCTAGGGTATGGAGTGGGATGAGGAAAGACCTGACCATCTATTCTTACTCCCTCTTATCCAGACCCAGCCCTTCTAGAACCAAAGGGCCATAGAGTGGGGACAGAGCTTAGTGTACAGCCCTTGCTAGCCTGTATAAGCCTAGGTTCAATTTGCAGGATTTAGGAAGGTACAGAAAGCATATTCTGGACATCTGTGTTCAAATGTCCCAGGGTCACAAGAGGGTCTGTCTAAAACCATCCTTTCTCATAACGGTTCCTGATCAGTTTCTAGCGCCCCTGGGACCAATGCACCTCACTTTAAGCTCCATGCAACACTACTGCTCAGCTCTCTTGCTGAACACATAAAACAAGTGGCCCAGCTACCATGTCTCTACTGAACCACACAACACATTCCCCAATCCACAGGCTCCGAGAAACCAAGTCAGACCTGGAAAAGAAGGGGGCAGCAAAGACAGGAAATCCATTTCCTCACAAGCTAGTGGGGCCAAATAACCCAGCTGCTTCTCTCCACAGACCCCAAAAGAGTGGCCCTGAGAGCTGAGAAGGACTGAGGAATGAAGTTCTCACTTCCCATCAATCCTGATTAAGGCAGGAATCAGGGATCCCAGACAGCCCCACATATTGTACACTTAACAAACAATAAGCTCCATGAAGGCCAGAACTTTCACCTATTGTTAGTACCTTCATATGTCCACTAGCTACAACAGTACATAGCATTTGAGAAATATTTGTTGAGCAAACTAATGAACGACAGCCCAACAAGTTCCTTGTACCATGAACCTTAATCTAGCCCAGAAGGAGCAAAGGGGACACACAAACACTGAAGATTTGCACTGAGCTTACTGTCACACTGCACCATCCAGGGAACTCTTTCCTGCCTGACTAACCCCAGTCTGGGCTCTTTGGCTGTCCCAGATGAGTAGCCTTTCATTACTAGCAGAGTGCAGGAATGAATTCCCTCCATTCATTTACAGATAAAAACAAATTCCCTTTTGCAAAGCACAGCTGGAAAGGCCTCACAGTTCTGGCCTGGTGATTCTTATAGGCAGGAAGGAGAAAATCCTGGCCAAAAGGCTATTACCTTGTGAGGCAGGACAGGCTTGAGACTGCGGCTGAAGTAGCTGAAGTGGTCCCCCTTCTTATGCACCTGGACTCGCTCACCATCGTACTTGATCTCAGAGAACATGCCATTGGGATACTTCTTCATTGCATACTCGATGGACTTGCAGGCCTCAGCCTTGAGATGGAGAAAGCAAATGGTGGATTCCTTCAACTGGGGCTCCTTAGCAGAGCCTGGGGCTGGGGTTGTCAGGATAGAACTGGGTTCTGGAACTGACTCAGGACAGACTGCTGCTGAAGGGGTAATGACATTGCAAAAGGGCCAGGCAATGCTATATTCTGATTATAAAATTACTAGTTGATACATAGCAAGATTGTCTCAAAAAATATGTAATCCATAACCAGAGTTGGCTTAACAGTTTGCATTCTGAAAAAGATAAATGCTATCCATTCTAGAATAAATAAAATTCTTCTGAAGAAAGATTTTTTTTTTTTTTTTTTTGGTTTTTTGAGACAGGGTTTCTCTGTGTAGCTTTGGAGCCTATCCTGGCACTCACTCTGGAGACCAGGCTGGCCTCGAACTCACAGAGATCTGCCTGCCTCTGCCTCCTGAGTGCTGGGATTAAAGGCGTGCACCACCAATGCCCGGCTAAGTTTTTTTTCTCAATAATTTAGGCTCTTGCACGTTACCTGGCTTATAAACATACTTGCTATCACAGTGTAAGTGACAGTGGAGGTAAAAGTGAAGAGGGCCAGTGACAATGAGGCTGGCAGGGTGACTGCAATCTGAGACTGACAGGACAGGATTCCCAGGCACAGGCACACTCACTCACATACTGGCACAAGCCAGACCCAAACAGTAACTACCATTTGGGGCGGGGTGGGGCAGGGGGGCGGTGGTGTGTGTGTGTGTGTGTGTGTGTGTGTGTGTGTGTGTGTGTGTGTGTGTGTGTGTCTTGTCAGGTCATAAAACATAATGTCATTTCCTCTTTGATGACCCTTACATGACAAATGCTGCAGGAAGAACTGAATGTCTGGGAGGTTATGCATTTACTTAAGGTCAGGGGGCCAGTAAACAATCACTCAGATGTGCATCTACGCCCTCCTCCCACACCATTCTTCAGACAAGGCTATGGGAAGCACTCTGGGAAGCACTGCCATAGAAGCCAAAAAAGCCCCTTCTTCAGGTGAGGGAGGTGGTTCTGTCCCTGGTATGGAGACCATACTATTTTAGCACTGGCTATCCTGTATTTCTGGTAGCAAGAGAATTCTTCCCTATCTCAAACATAAACACCTAACCCAAGGATTTACAAGGATTTAGTATCACAAAAGTTTCAAAAAAAAAAAAAAAAAAAAAAGAAAAAGAAAAAATTCCCTGAATACCCCTGGGAAGCTCAAGGGACTCATAGCAAGTGGCAGAGTAACAGATTTTGATTCTGTTGTAAATAAAGACAGCCCATCCTCACTAAAGGTGCAGAAACCCAAGTTACGTCCTGGAGTGAGGCTTTATTCCTTGAGCTTCTTCTGTCTGTGACAAGAGGCCTGGCTCTGTTGCCAGCTCTGAGCAACAGAGGTCACAGCCTTGGGGGCTACTGAGCACAACCCTGTCTTCAAGTGTGATGCTAAACTACTTGGTCTCATATGCCACTCCCACAGGGAAAGTAAAGTGCCAAGGAGGCCGGGTGACCCATCCAGACTCTAGGGCTTGCTGGTGGCAGTGCCAGAGACTAGGCTAAGGTTGTACTAGATCGCCGCTGCCGCCGCCTTCTGCACCTTTACTTCCCCGCCTAGCACTGCTCTGCTAGTCTCCACTCTTCCTTCCCCACACTTTTCTAGGGAACCCCCAAGAAAGAGCCCTTGCCTTTCATCCCCTGTCAGATGCCAGCAACTTGAAGAGGCATGGACAACAGGGACAAGGCAGTGTTCCTCACCAGCATGGGCTGCACAGGAGTCATCAGTGAGGCCTGAACGCTCAGAGTCCGTCGCTGGCCTTGGTACTTCACCTCCTGCTCATTGTGAAGGACTCGCTCCACCACATCCTGCAGGTTTCGCGAGGCTTTGAAGGCTTCATAAGCATTGGGGTCAAGGGCATCTAACCTGCCAAGAGGGTCAGGAGCAAGAAACAAACTTCTACATGACATCATGGCATAGGGAAGCAGTCTGTCACAGACAGGAGTGACACTGGGGAAGTAGCCTTGTTCTATCCTTTAACTTGGAAGATATGTTCAACCTATAGCAGTAGGCACATGGAGCCAAAGACAGTTATGAATGTGCACCAGCACAAAGTGGTCAAATTTATTTAAAACACTACGCTTTCTTTTTCTAATTTTTTTTTAAACTCGAATAAACAGTTCTTGAGCATGAATTTTGTAGATGTTACAAAGGCAAAAGGTTGGAAATCAGAGCTGGCACAGGAAAAGACAGAACAGAACACTTAGGGTTTTGAGACTCTATGCCTTACTTGGTGCAGCCTTGGCAGAGGATGGGGCTGGAATGGGCAAGAAGCCTGTTCTGGACTTTCAGCTGTAGCAGCTTTGTGTTAAAGACAGCTATCTCCACTTTACATGTGAGAAAATGGGTGTGTAGCTGCGTTAGGGTCCCAGAGGAAATAACAATTAGGGTTTGAATCTGTAGCAGGTCTCCCAAGTCCTGAGAGCAGTGGGGAACGAGTAAGTTGGCAGGCTGTCAGAGGAGCTATGGTACTTACACATGCTTTGCACCCGAGTTCATCTTCAGATCATGCTTGATCAGCCGGATGATGCACTTAAGGTCATTGGCTGTACACCTAAAGAGATGAGGCATATTCAGCTTGACCTCCGAAGAACTCTGATCCCAAACCTTCCCAGAACAGTCCACCTCCCTAACCCATCCCCATTGGGTCTGGTTTGAATAGGGCAGCTCCCCCACCTGGAGGCAATGTCCTGCAGGGCCTGCTGCTGCTCATCCTCTTTGGTGAGCTTGGAGAGGTGCAGGAGGAAGGCATCCACTTCCTGGATGGTGAGGAGGCTCTTGGCAGCTGGGGGGAAAGACTTGCTCTGCTCAAAGAAGACTCTGATCGTCTCTGATACGTCACCCTGTCTCCAAAAACCAAAACGCCACTGCTGCAACCCCAGGGAGCTTGGGGCTAACAATAAGTCAAGAGTTCAACCACAGCTCCTGACCCAAAGCAGTTCTCAGGAACTCTCTCCCAGCTGGATCCTAGAAGGGGCCCATCTAGCCACAGGAGGCTGCTTACTTGCTCAGGAGAGACATAGCACTAATCCCAAGACCAAGCCAATCTGATTCCTATTTAAGAACAGGACTAAGAGACACAGTCCTTCTAGCAGTAGACGTTTGGGTAGAAACTTTCCATGGCCCCAAGACTGGAGTCATGAACAAGCCAAAGATGAATGGAAAGTCCACAGAAAGAGGGAAAGCAAGCAAGCAAATAAAGCCCACAACAGCCAAAAGGAAGTCTCAAGTCCTGACTTTTCAGATAAGGCCTCTTGTGGCTTGGCAGTGGTATGTTTTCAGTTATCAAACTTATGAAAGGAACAGCTGTGTCCTCACACTCAGCTTCCCCAGTCTAACAGAATCTTGTTCAGTAAGTTTCGGTTCCCTATCCCAGTAGGTTCTCCGTTATTTTTAAAACTGGCTGTGGGAAGGCTATCCTGACAGAGTCCCACCCGGGGTATGGCCTCCCAACACTCGCCTCTGACCTGTTCTAGGTCCCGGGCCATATCATCTGGGTTGCACTTAAAAATTCGGCTAAAAAGTTTCACAATCTGCTTATCGTTCAAGTTGTAAACACTCTTAACGACTCCCGGCAGCAGTAGCTTCACTGTTAGGTACACATCACCGTGGAAGCCATCTGAAGACAAAAGGAAAGAAAATTCAATTAAGAAATGGAGCTGCCAGGTGTGGTGGTACACAGCTTTAATCCCAGCACTCAGGAGGCAGAAGCCTGCAGATCTCTGAGTTCAAGACCAGCCTGGTCTACACAGTAAGTTCCCAGACTGTGAAGGATGCACAGTAAGGCCCTATCTGAATTACCATTTTTTTTTTTTTAAAGGCGGGGACTGCTTCCCACAGCTCTCTGCATGTATTACTACAGTAGCAGTAGTCAGTGGCTGTGGTTTTTGTCTGCCTCACCTATACCCCATGATCTCCCACTGGGCGAAGATCTGACTTTCACTTTGTGATGACGTAACAGATACTGACTGACAATTTGTTAATCTATGAAAGAAACAAATTAGGGTGATTCTACTCCACATTGGGCATGTGATTCACCTAATGACATATGCAAGAGGACGATTTCTCTACTGGTTAAATGGGCTCTTCTGCCTCCTTAGGACAAAATAAGGGCAGAGCAAGAAAATGGCCAAGCACTGTGAGCAGAACTGGCTATATGATATGCAGGGTCTGGCGACAGTTACAACTATAGGATTCCATTTCAAGATTATCAGCATGTCAAGTTTAAAATGGAAAAAGTTGTGTGTGTGTATGTTTGCATTCCTCAGCATGTAAAAACTCCATTGTGTTATGCCCATAAAGCTGGTCATGGCTCTGAGCTTTTCAGAGGGAACACATATTCGGGGTCCTCACAGTCCTACCTCCTGCAGAGCCTTTCTGCAAGAAGTCCTGGATGATCTGGGTCTTTGTATTGTAGCTAGGATTTTCAGCCACCATGGCGCACAGCTTCCGGAACTCTCGTAGTAGACAGTCTTTGTGCTTAGGGTCACATTTACTTGTAGACAGACTTGTCTTAGGGGCAGAGCTTAAGGAGCCTTGCTCAGAGTTGTTGGTTTTGGCTGCTGGAGAGAGAAATAACACAGATGATTCATTTTTCCTTTTTGGGATGCACAAAAAGTAATGAAGAAAGTGAAATTTATATGTAGTCTTATTTAACCCCCCCAAAGAGTGACTGGAGGTAGATGTACTGGATCCATGTCACAAGCACTGATATGAAGGGCAAGCAATTGGCTCAAATATCACTGCTTGATGACTGGACTGAGCAGTATCTGTTCATGTGAGCATCTCACATAGGAACAAAGGCTGACGCCACAGCCATCAGGTGGAAATCAGAGTAATTGTAATTCTGACTCCAGAAAGGCTAGGATGAGAAAGGGAGAAGACACCAAAGGACATGCTAATTTGAAATATTGCCACCATGGATTGTCAGAGCTGTTGTAAGCCTGTTGGATAACAGAGTTCACCGTCCTCTTACTGATGAGACCAAGGCCCAAGAGCAGATAGCTTTCAAGACCAACTACTTCCTTGGTAAAAGAACCAAGACAGGAATGCTAGCAAGAAAGTCAGGACCACCAGTACACCCTAGTTTGTCTTTTCTCATTGTCAAAATAAAAGGCAGTTTTATTTTGAGAGTGAGAATTCTTGGTGATTATTCCTTACTTCTTTGTGGCTATTTGCAAGGCCAAGGCAGAGGTAATAGCAAGGAACTATTTACCAAGGCTTCCTGTTTGGGTTTCATACACTGTAAATCTGTCTCTGACCTGGAATCTAAATCTGATGTGGGCAGGGAATTTTCCAGAGCACAGTATTTTGCTAGGTCCAAGAAGGAGAGCACCCTATTCTTTTCAGCTCCTCTAAATTCCACGCACAAGACCAGGGCCTTTCCAGAATCATGTTATCTTTATTGTCACCTGGACTCTTCTGCATCCCTGTTATTGGCCTACTACCAACAACAAACCTGAGTTTTCAAATAATAAAAACCGCCAGAGATGGCAGCACATGCCTGCACTTCTAACACCCAGGAGGCTGAGGCAGGAGGATCTTAATTTCAGAACAGCCTGGACAGAAGACTGTGTCTCTTATATTTCTGGGTTGTGAGCCTAGCTTTAACAGTTGAGCCATCTCTCCAGCCCAAGGCTCTCTCTCTTAAACACAACAAATTCTCTCTCTCTCTCTCTCTCTCTCTCTCTCTCTCTCTCTCTCTCTCTGTGTGTGTGTGTGTGTGTGTGTGTGTGTGTGTGTGTGTGTGTAAAACTCCTACAGATCCAGGCATCATTTTTTTTTTTCAAGACAGAGTTTCTCTGTATTGCTTTGTACCCTGTCCTGGAACTCTCTCTGTAGACCAGGCTGGCCTTGAACTCAGAGATCCGCCTGCCTCTGCCTCCCAAGTTCTGGGATTAAAGGTGTGCGCCACCAATGCCCAGCCAGGCATCATTTTTGTAACGTTATATTCCACAGTCCCCATGACAGGACTAATGTCTTAATCCCAGACAAAGCCACAGAGGCTCACAACAGGTAAAGAATTGCTCAAAGCACCAAGCTGTTATCATAGACCAAACCTCAATTTTCCTGACTTCACATTTAGGCTTCTTTGAACCTTTAAATTTCTCAAGTCCAAAGGGTTTCATTTTATTATTTTCTTCAGCTGAGCCAGTCATAAGAATTGTTTATCTCAAACAATAAACAGAATATAGGGTATATATGATAAATAACACACTACTGGGACAAACAGACATCAGAGCAATAATAGCTCAATTGTGAGCCTGAACTTCAGTTCATTCATAAAATGTGCATAATGAGCAAGACAGAAAAGCACTTATTCAGGTTAAGTGAAGAACAAAAGCCTGTAGATGAATGTTTTCTCTTACCTATAGCCAATAAATGACCCTCTCAATTCCCATTGAAGCACAGGTTCTAGCAAAGTTTTACTGATTCCAGTCCAGGAATAGTAGTTTTGTTATACAACAGAAACAACTTACGTATGTGTGTGCATGATTACAAATTACTGTTTGTTTATCTTTCCAAGACATAAACAAGAGATAGGGGATGGAGTCTGAATCCAGAGCCTATTAATTCCCAAGTCCACCTGCTTTATCACTGGGCTCTACTGTCTCCCAACAAAACATGACACCTGTCATTCAGATCTTCCTTCTGCCTCCTCCCTCATACATCTAAACTACAGGGATACAGGGACAATGACTATCAGGGGAAATGAAGGAAAAATGACCTGTCCTCCCACACTTCCATCTCCAGTTCAGGCAAGTTTGGGGACACTTCTCAGAATTCTGTCATTGAAAAACAAGTAGTAGCTAAGTAGGGGTGGTGCACACCTTTAACCCCAGCAGGCAGGCAGATCTCTGAATTTGAGGCCAGCCTGGTCTACATAGTGAGTTCCAGGACAGCCAGGGCTACACAAAGAAATCCTGTCTCGAAAAACCAAACCAAACCAAACCTAACTAACCCAACTAACCAAACAACAAAACACCAAGAAGCAAAGAGCAGGTTAGAAAAATCTTTTTGATCCTGGTAATAACTTCAAGTAGAAGTCTTGACAAAACCAATATGTTCCTACTACAATAGAGAAATACTATGCAAGTAGTCAGCTGGGGTTGGACTGCCCCAGACAGAAGCCAGTTACTGACACTCGGTAATACAGTATTTTCACTTAGTCAGAGACCCAAAGAAGACACAAACAAAGGAGAGCCTTAAGAGCGAAAGTAGCCTTAACCCATCTTACCTGAAAATCCAGAAAATTTCCGAGGATTGGTACTGGTGACAAACGAAGCACCTTTCACTGGGGATGACACCTGGCCAGTGGTTGTCACCTTAGCCTGGACAGCGGTTTTCTTCTTAGGTGTCCCAGCTGCCTTAGAGGACAGGTCTATAGGACCCACACAGAACAAAAATGTCCTTCAGAGAAAGACTGCCGAGGAAGCTTCTCGATTTTATCAACAGTTTTCAAATCCTTGCTTGGTAAGTTTCTACTGCACTATGACCCCAGGCTGGCTGGTCTTTTTGAGTGTTGGGAGGAGGTAAAAGAGTATTGTACAGAGAACAAAAAGGTATTTTGGGGATCATTTACCTCTATTGGTAACTTGAATTTTCATCAAAATTCCCCACCTCATATTTAATATATAATAATTTCTTCTTCCTTTTTTTTTGTTTTTTGAGACAGGGTTTCTCTGTATTGTTTTAGAGCCTGTCCTGGAACTCACTCTGTAGACCAGGTTAGCCTTGAACTCACAGAGATCCATCTGCTTCTACCGCCTGAGTGCTGGGATTAAAGTACAGATTTGGGGAAACCAAATAATCATTTATTTATTTTTAAAGATTTTTATTTTTATGTGAATGGGTGCTTTGCATGCATGTATGTGTGTACCATGTGTGTGTGGTCTGGTGCCCAGGGAAGCAAAAAAAAGGCACTGGATCCATTGGGATTGGATTTACATAACCATGAGCTGCCATGGGGATGCTGGGAATTAAACTCAGGTCCTCTGGAAGAGCCAGCCACCTTTGCTCTTTACTGCTCTCCAGCCCCAGTAATCATATTTTGATAGATAAAACTTGGGCCTAGCTCTGTGAAATAGCCCCAATACATAGAAACAACAAAGTAAAAATGAAGAAACCAGAGCATGCCTTTTTGGCACAGGTAGAATAATTCCCGTTGACTACCCTTCCCCCGAATGAGACAGAATCAGTTAACAAAGGCCAAGAATAAGAATAAAGGACCATCGTTAGAGCCACAGCCTTTAGATCTATTACTCTAGAGACTCTAAGAGTCCTCAGATATGGATATAGGAGTAAGCATGTATGTGTGGATATATGTATGTGATTTTATGTATATGCATGCATGTATCTTTCTAGTTGTCTGTTCTAAGGACTTAGCCACAAAGATATAATATGATGACGAGATGTAGAGCATCCAGATTTTGTTTTCCAAAACTGTTTTCCATTAATGGGAATTCAGACCCCCTCAGAGGAATGGCTACCACCACAGCTAGGGGAGGACACATAGAAGAAAGTCAAGAGCATCCTCTTATGCCTAATGCATAAGTACTTATAAAACATGGTCCAGCAGGTCTTAAACTCACTCCTGAGTGTCTAGGACTGCAGGCTTGTGCCACCTCACCTAGCTAAAATTCAGTGAAAAGTATTTGCCAGGCATGGCCAGCAGACGGGTACAACTTCAGGACTTGAGAGGCTAATGCAGAAAAGACTGAGAGTTTAAGGAAGCGGGGGAAAGAGCGGGGGGGGGGGGGGGGGGGGGGGGACACGGACAGACGGACAGACAGACAGACAGACAGACTAGAGTATGCAGGATATAGAAGCCACCCTAACGGGACTACTAGCTGGCCAAATATGGAACAAGTCAGTACCATAATGAACTGTAAGTCTCTGGTGAAAAGTAGTAATCTAAAAGTTGGTAAAGACATCAAGTTGACAGCTAAAATGGTGGTAGTGATCTTTTATTCTTTAAAAATATCAACATCTAAAAGAAAGACAGAGAGTACCAGACTTGGTGGCACAAGGCTGTAATCTTAGTCCTGGGGAGAAGGCAGGAAGATTGCTTTGAGTGTGAGGCCAGCCCAAGCTACATGGTATGGCAAGAATACATCTAAAACCAAAAAGACACTCTGGAAATGCTGCAGAGTAAAGGAAGCCAAAGAGACATGACAATTAAATGCAGTACCTAATCTGATTCTAAACCTGCATCCTCAAATGGAGGAAAATGTACTATTAAATTATAGCGTTCAGTCAACAGACAAAACAGTATACAGATAAGGAAGTATTGCATCAAGGGAGAGTTTACTGAGGTTAACAGGTAAACTATGATCATGTAAGAGAAGATCCTATTTTTAAGATACACACTGGAGTACCTACAGGGCCTGATGACACAACTTTCTCTGAGTGGCTCAATAAAAAAATAAGCCTGATATGTAGAGAGCGAGCACATAAACAGAAATGAGAAAGTAAAATGACTAGTATCAAGAGGGAAATCTGTGTCAAGAATGAGTGTTCTTGGTACTAATTTTATTCTTATAACTATTCTGTGAATTTGAACTTATGTCCAAGCAAAATGCACAAAGAAAGAAATATCCTAGCCTCTAGTCTCCTTGTGCCCTATTCTATTAGCACCAGCAAGCCGAGAAACCAGGTTCTAAACCCCACCTGCAATGTGCTGGCTGATCTGTTCCTTTTCGTCATCTTCCAGCTCTTCCCAGCCTTCTAGCTCTGTGAGGTCTTCAATTTTTTTTGTGGTAGCCCGAGCCCGCTCCAGTTTCTCAAATATGCACTTAACATGGTACCACTCTTTCATATCGCCCGCAGACTCTGAGAAGGGATTGGGCACCACTTTGCCAATGCGGCATACGCCCTTTAAAATCTTCTCCTTGCATTTCTTGCAACCAGCTGTGCCCCTCTTGGCATAGTCCACACAGAACCGCTGCTCCGCCATCTCATAGGGGCCAGTATAGAGTCCCACATGCGACCCTGGGAAGAAAACAAGGTGGGTGGCACGTGGTCTTAGATGACCTCCCTGGAAAGATAGGACAGGCTTTCTTCTCTGGAGGAGGCAGCACCCACGAAGGAGATCTGTTTCCGACCACTGGCTGAACTGTCTTATGACAGGCCAGTGATTCTGTTCTGAGAACAGGCACAGTTCTTTTCTGCCAAGGGCACAAAGGTTTCTCGGGAAGAGGATCTTGAAAGCCAAAGTCATATAGCTGAATGAAAGGACGGGAAATAAACAAACACAAAGATATGAAGAAGTTAGGCTTCCAATTTATTTTCTTTTTTAAAGATATTTGTTTATGTATTTTTTTGTATATGATTGCTCTATTTTCATGTATGCCTGCATGGCAGAAGAGGCCATTAGATCCCATTATAGATGGTTGTGAGCCACCATGTGGTTACTGGGAATTGAACTCAAGTCCTCTAGAAGAGCAGCCAGTCCGCTTAACCTCTGAGCCATTTCTCCAGCCCCCAAGCTTCCAATTTCTTAACGGCCAGAATCTCATATGTGATTATCAAGTACTTTCCAATGCATTCCAAAGGGGCATGCAACACCAACAGCATGAGATACTAATAATGGACTGTGCCCTTTAAATATTACCAAGACTCTGAAGCTCTGTCTTAAAAACTAAGAAAAATTATATCGTGTTTATGAAGTTTCCCTGTGAAATATAACACATGAGCCACCTATAGAAAACAATTAAGACACTATAACAGATTTAGGATTTCAGAAGAGGCTCTCCTTTGAGAGTCAACTCATCAGAACCTATAATCAGACTGATGACTGCCTGGCTTCAAAACCTTGCTCAGCCATTCATCATCTATGTGACCCTCAGCAAGTTACTTTACCTCTCTGCTCCTACTCCATCTGTAAAATGTAGCTAGCTCACAGTAGTGCCTAATTCAAGTAATAGTGTACTAAGAGTAAAATCCTTAGAAAAAGAATAAGCAATCCCCTTGCTTAATTCAACATCCTGAATCAGGGAAAGTCGAAAAAACTGGACTGTAAGAGTCAAGTGAAGTGATGTTTGAAACAATCCAAGTGGAAACAGGGATTATACCTATCTCTTCTTATATTTGTAACTAAATGGCTTTATAGTTTTACTTTCCAATATGCTAGAAACTATTTTTAGTCTGTACACTGCTGTAAAGTAAAACTGCTATTATGTCAACAGAAAGCCTGCTTCACTTACTGCAGTGCCTCACAGAGCAGAGCAGAGCAGAGCAGGTTTACTATGAAAGAAAGAATGGGAGGCCAAGCCTACCCATGGGGTGGGGGTGGGGGGCAGCTTGGTTTCTTCCAATTTACTATGTAAACAAGGTCAACCCTAAAGAGCCAATCCTCCTGCCTCCAGTTCTCTAGAGCTGGGATTATAAGTGTGAGCCACCAAACCTAACTTCAATTTATCTATTTATTTAATTTTTGAGTTTTTTTCTTTTGTTTGTTTTTTTGTTTTGTTTTTTGAGACAGGGTTTCTATGTGTAACATTCCTTGCTTTCCTGGAACTCTTTCTGTATACCAGGCTGGCCTGGAACTCACAGAATCCACCTGCCTCTGCCTCCCAAGTGCTGGGATTAAAGGAGTGCATCACCACGCCCGGCTTCAATTTATTTTACAGCTATTTATTTTTTTGTTTTGTTTTTCGAGGCAGGGTGTCTCTGTGTAGCTTTGGAGACTGTCCTGGAACTAGCTCTCAGACCAGGCTGGTCTCGAATTCACAGACATCTGCCTGCCTCTTGACTCCCGAGTGCCAACGCCCAGCCCCAGTTTTATTTTTTAACACAGGACTAAGAGCTAATTAGTGTTCTCGCCTGTAATCTCATCACTCAGAAGGCATGGGCAGAAGGACTGCTCTGTGCGTTTGAAGCTAGAAAGTCCGGCTTACTTAGTAAATTTCAGTCTTGTCAGGGCTCCGCAGAAAGCCCGTCCGCCTCCAAAGGAAAACAACCCCCAGGATTAGAACTATCTCATGGGGTAATTTAATTACGACGAGTTCGAGGGCGAGCTGGTGGTGGTGGAGTTCTGAATTCCCGGTGTACCAAACTTGTGTATTTGACAATGTACGATTCGGGGGGAGAGGCGGTCCGTGAACTGCGAGACTCATAGTGGGTCACACAAGCCCCCAAGTTTAAGAATCGGAGAGGCGAGTTAAGGACTGCAGGGCCGGGAAGGAACTAGGGGCGAATAGGAGTTCAACTTTCCGCAGACTGTGGTGGGTGGAGGCAGCCCCGAGCCCGGGACAGGACAATTAACCACCGGGGCCGACCGGCGCGGGGAGGCTGGGGAGCTCCCGGGCCGCGGAGAGCAGCACGCCGCTCTGCCTGGAGGCTTTCCCGGGGAGCCCGCAGCCGCGCAGCAAGCGGCGGGGAGAGACCCCGAACCGCTGGGGACGCCCACTCGGGCGCGGGCGGCATTCCGCTCTC